AAGAGCGTGTAAGTCTAAAGGCAGATCACCCCTAAGTGAGCAGGCTGACCTGTCCCCTCGGGGTGAGAGATGTAGAGAGCTACTTTCCCCCAGGGCCACAGATCCGCTGTGTTAAAAGCCCCACTGTGACACAGGGAAGTGTTGGCAGAACCGAGGAGCACGAAAAGCAGCCTCGATCTTTCTGAGCTTTGCCTGGTTTCTGCAGGACGTGTTGCACAGGCACGCCCTCTACCTGATCATCCGGATGGTGTGTTATGACGACGGCCTCGGGGCGGGGAAAAGCCTGCTGGCGCTGAAGACCACAGACGCGCGCAACGAGGAGTACAGCCTATGGGTGTATCAGTGCGGCAGCCTGGTGAGGCCTAGGCACCCCGCTAGCTCCCGCGAGGGCAGTGGCAAGACCTAGAGCCCAGGCTTTCCAAGGTTGAAGGACTGCCATGCATTCTCTGGTCCCCGGCCTAACAGTGCTAGTGACCAGCAGGCCGAGGGCTGTTTCCACGAGGCCTGGGACAGTGCTCACTTGAGCCCAATATAGAGGGTGGGGGCCCGCACAGGAGGGAATGTGGCGAGTCCTCCCACAGGCGGTTCAAGCGGGGCTCCTCAGGGTTACTGTGTGCTCCTCTGTGGTGCTCACAGGTGGGCCCGCCGGATCCTGCATGTGGCCGGCGTCCCCAAACTGCTGCCGCACAGGTTTGGGAGGGGCATTCCGGTCAGGGTCATGCCTTAGCTGGTCAGAGGAAGTGCAAGAGGAGATGCAGGTACGAGCAGCTGTCAGCTTGGAAGTCGTAGAGACCAGGGTGGAAAGTTCTGATCACTGTCTTACTGTGTCTTCACATGCGTAGGAGCAAGCACAAGCGATTTGCAAAGTGTTATCCACCGCTTTCGACTCCGTGTTGACATCTGAGAAGCCCTGACTCCTGCGACCACAGGGACGCCAGCAGCCGTTCCGCAGTGGTCGGTTTCCAGCCTGCGGTGCGGACTGCCTCGGAAGGAACAGCAGTGTACACAGCATCTGTCATTTGTTGTTACGTTCAAGTGTGCTGCATTAAAAGTGAGTTATCTTTCAATGGCACTATTTTCTGAGATGAAAAAGAAATCTCGTTTTTAAATGACACCAGCAGTGTCCCGAAGTCCACTCAGTGACATAAGCACTGAGCACGAGGAAGACTATGGGAACCTGTTCCATAGCCACTTCCCACCATGCAGGTGCCCTGGCCTGGAGCTCTGGTCAGGCAGAGGTTCAGCCCGGGGCCCTAGGTTCCTGCTGGCTTGAGGCAATGACGTGGCCAACTTAAGACACACAAGATTTGTGTGTTTTTTTGTTTTTTTTTTTAATTTTTCCTTTAAGACAGAGAGCGGAAAAGGGAGAGGAAATGTTTGATAGAGTCTCACCGTGCCATGGTCCTCCCAATTAGCTAGGACTACAGGCCCGCGCTGCTGTGACAGGCATGTTCAGGCTGGTCTGGGAACCGAACCTGGGCCTCCCGTGTGGTTTCCAGCCTTCCCAGTGGCGCTACTGTGCATTACCATGGCTGGGCCATTAACCTCAATGTCTGTCTGAGTTAAGATAACCTTAGAAGACTTCTGCTCTTGCTGAAAGTAATACTATTTAAGGAAATCTCATATATAATATGCTAATTTTTTTTTTTTTTAAGGTTTTCGCTGTAAGGTGTACATGCTCACCAGAGAGGGAGGGAAAGTGAGAAATCACCCTCCCCACCCAGAGGGATGGCCACACACTCCCTCCTTTTCCATTCTCCTCTTGGGATTTTGGGTGTGCATGCACCTGTGCCCAGTGTGAGTTTCAAGCCTCCAGGTCCAGGACTTGAACTACATAGTCAGCCATGTGGAAGTGCAGTGCCTTCACCACCGCACCACCTGCTCGCCTAGCTAGTGAACTTTCTTAAAGGAAAGGCTGGCAGGACCAGCAGACGGCATAATGGTTACGTGCCGGACTCCCACATAGTTGACTGCAATTTGAGTCGCAGACCTGGCGACTTGCGACTCAAGCCAGGCACATGTGCGTGCATGCCCAAGATCGAGGGGACTACTGCCTCCCCCTCCTAGTTCACGAGGATGTTTGAGACGAGAATGGAGGAGAAGGGACTGTGACATGGCCATTCCCCTGGGACGTGATTTCTCATTTTCTGTCTCTGCCTCTTGGGTGAGCACACGTACCCCATACCAAAAAAAATTTCTCTTAAAAAAAGAAAGAAAAAAAAACTGCCCATATTCAACACTGTAAAGATTAAAAATATTAAAAATAAAACCATGACCATTTAAAAGTATTTTATTTTTTCTCTAGTCAAATGACTAGTTTACAAGAAGAGTAAACTTATTAAACATGCTCTAATTATAAATCACTGCATTAGGGACAATGAAAATAAGACTCCATTTAGGTTATACAGTATGTACAGTTGGCTGCAACTAGACCACAGGAATCAGGTGAACGAACTGAATATCATACATCTCAAATAGCGTCCTACGCTGCACGTGGGTACCCACCCCAGACAGGACACGTCTGCACTGTCTGCGTCCTCTGCAGAAGCCGGACCTGCTGGGAGCCGGCACACGGGGCGCCCCAGTCCCGCAGCTCAAGTGTGAAGCGTGAACTTTAATATAAATAGGTATCTACAACGTGTTCCTTTCTGTCAGTTGCTTTTTTTAGTTTGCAAAGAGCAAATCA